CCTGCTGAAGGCGGGGGGATTGGAACTAGATGATCTTTGAGGTCCCTTCCAATCCAAACCATTCTATGATTCTATGATTCTATAAAAGCATTTATGAATCTCTCAGTGATGTCAAACAGAGGGATTGTAAAATTTATGATAAAAGGATCAGAATTTAAAGTTACATTAAAAATGGGATGGATGTTCTGAAATAAAAACATGAAATGCAAAAAGATAAATGTTACACTCAAGAAGAAGAATTCAAATAAATTAAGACACGGGGAATAATTGGTTAGTCAGGGCTGTAAAAGATCAGAAACTGGGAGTGAAACAGCAATGCCATGTGACTGCAAGAAAGGCAGTTGCATTTCTTTGATGTTTTAACATGAGCTATATATGCAAAACGTGGAAAACAACTCCCTTATCTCAACATTGATGAGGCCACTAGGGAAGAAATAAGCAAATTTAAAGAAGCACAGTTTTAGGAAGCTGTAGGAAAACAGAAAAAGATATTTCAGCAAGGCAGCGCATATGAGTGAAAGGTTCAGGGAATGCAGAGACCATCCCACAAGTTGGGAGATTTACTTCTCTATGGAACTGAAGTTCAGAACTATCTGCCAGAATATTTTTCTTTTTTCTTTCTTTTTTTTTTTTTTTTTTTTTTCCATTCTCTGTTATGTACAAATACTTGTGTAACTTAGGATAAATTCCAGCCTGGCTTCTGCATTTAGGAAGGCACTAAACTGGCAAAATCTAATTTAAAGTAAAGCAGTAATCAAGAACTTCGGAAATATATGTATGATTAAACAGATGGAAAAAAATGTCTTCTCAGTGGAAGGGATTTCGAAAGATAAGAAGCTTTGATGATAAAGCCCATCATAGCAGTTCCAAAGAGAGGTAGCAAATGATTTTTCACTTTGAGAAAATGCTTATTTTCAATTTACAGCAAAAGAGGGCAATGATCATAATGTTGAAATACATACTTCAAGGCACCTACCTTAAGAAATCGTGGCATTGTTTCTCTTTTTGAGTAGCATTGTTAACTTACCCTAATGTATGTTACCAGCTACTATAGACAAAGATATTTCTGACAAAACTACACTAAGACTATGAAATGGAAAAAATTCCTACCAACATAACCTGAAGACCTATATTTTTTTTTTTCTAATTCAGTAATAACAGTTAAAACAAAAGCACCCTAAACATAGATGCACTTGTGTCAATATAAAGATACTTTACACTGAAATAGATATTTAGCTTCCCAGAGGAATAGGCTATACCAGTATAAAGCATTTTACACCAATATATACAGCCTGTTCTTGAGATGCTTTCTCTTTCATTACATTGTATTGCAAAAATGACAAAACTTCCTACTGCAGACAAGACCTTGGGTCCACTTCCATCAGTGTTAAGACTACTGTTTATATAAGACATTACCTAGTTTTAAAGGTGGACAAACAAATGTGCGTTCTTTACTCAAATAAACACCTCTTAGCCATAGTCCAGCATGAAGGCAAGATGTTTTTTCTCTACCTCTGTGATTCATGCAGCTGGGACAGGAGGTTGTGGAGTCTCCTTCTCTGGAGACATTCAAAACCCACCTGGACACCTTCCTGTGATTCTGTACCTCTGAACTACTTTGATAGGCTTAAAAAAAATTCCATTTAAACCCCTCACTGAAATGGCACTCCACTCACTTCAAAATACCGAGGTATCAGCCTCGAGGCAGATTTATTTAAGCATATTTACATTTGACAATAGCTAAATGAGGCTAACATTTAACACATCTAAAGTTAACACTGTTAACACATGTAACCTATTTAAACAACTGCTACATTTCTTTGAATGCATCTGCATTTCTTGCCTCTTGCTTACTACCACGAAGAATCAGAGTAGGTATTCAATTTTTTAAGTTGAAAAATAAAAATTCTACATCATCTACATCAGATATCTACAGCACTGTAGTCTAAAAGATGTCAGGTGAAGTCTTTGGAGAAAAGTTCAATATTTTACACAATGCTTTCCTTCTTGCGCCAAACTTTAGCAACAACAGATTTTTCAACCTTCCCCAAATCAGATACGTGTAAGAAACACACTAAATAAATAAAAAAAATTAACTCCTTATCTACTAAATCCCATAGCAATGAATACAAACCTTATATCTATCAATTTTCAACATACCTCTGCAATGTAACAGTAAACAGTGGTACAGTAACATTACTTTCAACACTGCTTAAAATGCTCCATTCTCCACTTCAGCTAATTTTGTTAATATTTTCCAAGACTTTATGTAACCTAAAATGCACGTAATTCAACTTTTTAAAAATCCCACCTTTTTTATTAACAGAACTATACTTACATTTGTGAACAAATGTACACACTTTAACATGTAACTCTATCAGTACTTCTCATGGAAACATAAAGTCTTCACTTTCTCTTTTTAATCTTAAAAATTATTCCTCAAATAACTTTAGTTTCCCATATCACAGGGCTTTTAAGAAAAAGGACCACTTACCAATAGTTCTTCTTGTTGCTGATGGTCAACTGAACAGATATACAGCTGCAGTGATTTTAATTTCAAAACACTTGAATGCACTGGGATTCGGAAAACTTCATTAAATATTAATGGAGTTTGGAATTCCAAAGCTCTAGAGCAGTAAGTGGTTGGTGTGCCTGACTCAAGTGGTGGCAAATAAACTCTCACATGACTGGGAACAGCAAAACAGACAAACAGCACAATTCAGACAAAGAAAGCTATTTTGCATTTCTCAAAATCAAGCTAAGCAAAAATATCAGTGTAACTTCTACATTAAGAATCTGCTCTGGGATCTCCTCATTACAGGAATTTACTTTGTATTCTTAACACAGAAGAACTGCAAAGCTGATTCGGAAACGTTCTTTTTCTATTATTTTTATTTTTATTTTTTAACTTGGTGCTTAAACAGAGGCACCAAATGGCACTTGAGATGCCCAGAGGTATCCAAGGCATTTACATGGGGCTAGCAAATATGACACAGGATCTTTGGGAGAGCTACAGCCTTCCCCTGAGCAGCAGCTGGAGGCCAGGTGCTATGCTATGATATTTCAAATGGGAACACATGCCTATGTTTAGGTGACTGAACTGTCCCATTAAGTGTCACTGATCCAATTCTTCCTTCTATTCCTAAGCATACCTTTTCCCTCCTGCCTTAAGAAACTCAGCACAAAAGGATGGCAAAAGAAACTTGCAATCACTGCATCCATCTGCCATCTTAAAAAAGAAAATTAAATATCTGGTACCACCTCATCTGAGACTCCAAGCCAAAAACAAAATCCACAACCATTTTAATCTGACAGAAGGCAGCAGAGCTACTTACAGAAGCGTTTCTGTGTTCTCCCTGTCCTGACTGCTTGTCCAGCTCCTGCAATATCCTATTTTTTGTTGTACCTTTCCTTGTGTCAGCAGCTTCATGCAACTCTACTGTGAACCAGCTAAGGAAACTTATCTGGGCTAAAGAGCTAAACTGGCTAAAAGCTTTTTCTGGTTTTGGTAAGATAAACTTCTTTTTTGACCAGTCAAACCAATCGATTTACCCTGCAGCCATGCAATTTCCCAATTCCAGCCCAAGTAGTTAACTGAGAAGGATGGGGAACAGAACTGCCTTTTTGAGAGTCACTTAGATGCCTGATTGCCTTTATGACAATAATCCAACAAACCCTCTGGAGTCTTTTTTTTCCCCTTAGTGACTCTACTTTGAGATTTATTTCTTTTTCTGATCACAAGGCATCATGGTTGAGTACTACTCAATACTCACATTTTTCCCTATCACGTGCCTTTCCACTCAGATTGGAAACAAAGCAAAAGACCAACACTGATGCACTGACCTACATGAAGAATTCCCACTAGAGGTTTGCAGGGTCAGCAAGATCAAGTGTTCTCAAAGATCAACTCATTCAGTGAGACATCATATGTCAATTTAACAACTTCTAGATAATAACTTATTTTACAATACAACGATATCACACTTCCGTTTTCCACAGTTCTCAAACAACCTCTCACAGAGATAAAGAACAACAATTTTCATGGGTCATATTTCTTTAAAATATGTTAAGATATATATTACTAGATAAGACTGTGTTTTATGGCAACATTGCCATTATTTAATAAATGTTTATTAGAATAAACTAAGCGATATTCTATATAATGCAATATGGAATTTGAAAAAGTAGTGCAGGCCTCCAGAGGTTAAAAAAATAAATTGTTTGTACTGATTCCCAGCTTGTATTTGTGTTAAAATTATCTCCAGAAAGTGTTTCACAGATATTCAAGGAGAGCTGTAATGGCCACAGAAGTCTGCAAATGTCCTGGTTGGTTTTTTTTGTTGTGGTTTGTGTGTTTGTTGCTTGGGTTTTGGTTTAGTTTGGTTTTTTTTTTAAGATAAAAGTTATGGTATCTCTCTTACTGATTAATATACATGTGATGATAGAAATTTGAGAAAATTACACTAAACTTATTCCAGGACACATCACAGATAAGTTGTAAAGGAGTTGTACAGGAAATAATATTTCTAGAATACTGGAAATAACGTAGACAGCTTTCTTGCTGAAGGCATGGGGTGATGGAAGCATGATTTTCATGTTTTTGAACAAACTTTCCTGTGTATAATAAACACTTAAAAACATGGGTCATTAGAGACTATGCTCTCGCTCTCATTACCTGATCATTAATGACTGAGGTTCTATAGAAGGGACACTTTGTGCCCATAAAATTAACCCTTTCTTCATGTAAGCTAAGGTATACCATCTTCTCCAGAAATAGCTTGATTTTTCATGAAAGCAAACAAATCTATGGTATTTAGGCTTGTGGCACAAAACAAGCAATAATCAGACTCTGGATGAAATTTAAGCTTACATTTTGCAGTTTTCTTTAACAACTAGACTAGTGAAGTTCTTCAGCTGTAATACGTGGACTAACAGACATTCGCTTCCACCATCATGCCTGGAAAATAAATTTCCTGTATTAGTCAACAAGCATCAATATTTTGCTTAAGAGATACAGATAAAAGACTAAAAATATTTAAAGACAGTAAAAGCACCTTTTGCTGTTAAACAAACCTCTTGCACAAATCAGTTTGAATCAAAAGCAATTACAGATATTGCACTCTGGTAACAGAACATTATTAATAATATTAGCTACAGTAACAAAATTATCAGAAGAGAATTAAACATTATTCAATTTGAAAAGAATAATATTCCCTGTTGTGACTCTTGACAGTGAACTGGTTTTATAAAATACATTCCTTGTTTTAAACAGTTACACCATAGGCACGTCTGTGTGCAAGCATGCATGCGTAACAACATATCAGTTACCTTAGAAAAGAAATCAGTCTGCATTATTTTCATGGGTTAAAGGAAAATAAACAAACAACTCTACTCTTTCACATCAGCATGAATTTTGAAACGGAACTAACAAACCTGGTTGAGATTTGAAAACTCCTTGGCTTGGGAATTAATTTTCCAAGGAGTAGAGACGATTCTGGAGAGCTGTCTAATTAGACATGACACCCTGCCTTGCATTGCTACAGTCTGCCCTTCCTCAAGCTACTCCCACTACTAACAATAGCATGCCTTAAGCACAGGATTTCAAAGCTGTATTTGGGAACTGTATTTGTGTCTCTTCACCTGTGACTTTCCTAAGGTAATCCTCCTTCATCTGGCATAAAAAGATCTCACTCACAGAGACATATCCCTATATCCATACTCACACTAATGGCTCGGACAACGAAAATAAATGCTACTGAAAGAAGTAATTAAGGTCCTTTTATCAGTCAGTATTGAAAGGATACTGAATGAATCATGGATAAGGCACATCCCCAGCACAAAAGTAGCACATAACTAATCTGTGCATTCACTAAACTTTGGCTTTCAGTTCAGAAACTTCTTAAGACTCCAGTTAAGTCTATTAAAAAGTTAAAAACCAAAACCGAGGAAACAGTGAGCAATTCCT